GCCCTAATGACCAGTCTTCCCTCCTAGCTTGCACAATCCAGTGTCACCTAGGTCGAGAAGTGTGCATGCACATTTGGGACCTGTATGGGCTCAATGTGTTACCCATCTCTAGCATTGCCTTTCTCCCTCACAGCAGCCCAAAGCTGAGCTCCTGCTACTGAAGACTTCAAGCTGTGTTTTTATTCATTATAAATATTATTGTCCTTCTGCTTAAGCTAGGTACTGCAATAAGCACTTTCACATACAGGTCTCACCTAATAGTCACATTGCCCTTGTTTACCATTTATCTCTACTTTTAAAGAAAATAGACTTCAAGACTGTAAAGACATACACAAGATCCCATAGACAAAAGCGGGCTGAGCCTGGATTCAAACTTCTCATTACAAATTCTGAGTTCCTTCCCCTTAAAGTCCTTCTAAAAAGGGAGAAATAAGGTTCTACTAGGCTGGCCTGACAAAAGCTTCCTCAATGAATGATCACATTTCATGTTCTGCCCTGAAATGATCTCCATCATTAGGGCAGCCCTGTAAGAATCAGCAGCAGAAGTAGATGTCTTGAGGATATTTTTTTCTTCTGAGATAATTTTTATTTTGGCATCGAAGGCAAAAAGAGCTCTTTCCTCCCCAATCATTTTGAGGTATCAAGATTAAAATGACACCCTTGTCAAAGAATTCTTAATGCTGTGCTCAGAGCCACAGAAATGCAGACAGATGATGGAGGGGAGAAGTGGGGGGAAGAGGAGGTGTCCCTGAATTGATTAGAGATTGCTCAAAATGGATCACGTACAAGTGAATGTTTTTCCTTCTCTCCATTGTTTTCCATTCTGATGGAGCAGCATCTGAATGGTAGGCGGAGACTGTTTCGTGCCTTTGTCTAAAGTAGCTTCCAACTGTCCCCACTTGTGTCTTGTCACTTGTAAGCTCATACCTCCTCTGAGGTGGAGTTCATGCATCTTTGTGGGAGTGGGACTGCTCAGAGGAGCAGATGAACCCCTCTGCCGTGGAATCTCAGCCAAGGCAGGTGAGAACTAAGTCTTGCAAAAATAACCTGGGCAGAAACTACTTGTCCCTCATCCTAATCACAAGAGGAAACTGAGAAGTAGGTTTGATGCAGAGGCACAAAACTACATTTCAGAGATGTTGTCCAGTGCCCTACAATTTCCAGCTGCATTTCTATGAAACTAAAATCCCGAGGCTATCTTTGTGAGAGTATAGATCATGAGGTAGGCTGTGAGGATGGTATGTCATTGCCTTTTCATGCTAAGCTACCAAGTGCACTAGAATAGGCAGTTAAACTGTTAGTTGATTAATATCATTCTCCATATTACTTATTCTTTTTTAAAAGATTTTATTTATTTATTTGAAAGGTGGAGTTACAGACAGTGAGAGGGAGAGACAGAGAGAAAGGTCTTCCTTCCGTTGGTTCACTCCCCAAATGGCTGCAACGGCCAGAGCTGCGCCAATCCGAAGGCAGGAGCCAGGAGCTTCTTCCCGGTTTTCCATGTGGGTGCAGGGGCCCAAGGACTTAGGCAATCCTCTACTGCTATCCCAGGCCACAGCAGAGAGCTGGATTGGAAGAGGAACAGCCAGGACTAGAACTGGCGACCATATGGGATGCTGGCGCCACAGGCAGAGGATTAACCCACTGCGCCACGGTGCCAGCCCCTATTACTTATTCTTTGAAGGGAAGAAGTCATAGCAAAAGATAAAAAGGCATTCAATTCAGCTGTACCAGGGCCCTTCATTTCTGTTGTTCAATTTTCTCTCCCATATCACACCTTGTGACTGCGCAGGAGATTATAAAGAGAATATTTTGTTTCCATCTCTTAAGCCACATCTGTTGATATATTTACTAATAAGCCATAATTTGGAGTGATATGAAAAGTTAAAAAGAGGGGTCTAAATTTTGAATGTTTGATGTTATTCCTAGTGATATTGGTGACAGTACATGCACAACATTATTATCCCTAATGATAATTAATTCAAAATAATGGCACAAAACCCAAGTGATCCCTGGCTTTTAGTCCTCTTTTTGGCTACTCTGTTTGTCTTCACCATGAAAACGATGAGTACCTGGGCTTGAATACAAAGGCATTCTTGGTTTCAAAAGAGAGCCCTTTCTCAGTGAAATACTCTTCTGTCAGGAATTAGCTTACGATGCTTTGGGGAACAGCTTCAACTTGTATAACAGATACACTGGTTAGAGCTATTTAGTAACACCAAGGCAGTCTGTGCCTATTTGCTGCCTGAGTGTGATCCCTCTATTCTCAAGCCATTTGTTAGTTACCCAAGTTCAGGAGGTAATCACTCCTGTTTAGATAAATTTTAACCATTTAGAGGTATAGTGAACATTATTGAGTATGAATGAAACAAAAATTTGTTATAGTTTCAATTTCAGACTCCGTGTTTGGGCCAGTGGATATTGTCAGCACTGATTTGTGGTATTTGCTTCCAGGAGGTTACTCCCTACTTAAAAAACTAGCATAACCTATTACAAGAGTAGGAAAAAAATTCAGATTATTCGCTGGAACACTTGTGATGGGAAGGAAGATTCAAGATGACCTTCCGTTTTCTGTTTGAAAAATGTAGTGATAATTGTGATGTTCATGTGAAAACAACTGACACGGTGGGGAAGGCAGATCTCTGAGACACATTACTGGGATAAAGAACTTGACAGCTTGCTTTTTCTTCTTTTCTCTGCCTCTGCCTCTCTCTTTCACTCCCCCCACTCCCTTGTTCACCACTTCCAGAGAGAACACATTCTGGCACAAAGTGCAGAGGGCACTGTGGTTGATGACTTTCCCAGCTGGGCCTGCACACGACTGGAGCTGGGGCTCCCCCAGGTGCCACCTGTCTTTTCAACTGAAACATCTGATAGCTTTTTCCAATCTCAGAGAAACTGTGAGTCAGGCAGGTGATTTAAGGAGAGAGAGAAGATAATTTTCCTTAGGCTGGCTTTTTTCCACTGCCTAAGTAAAAGGGCCAGAAAAACAGCTCCAACATTTTCCATCTCATCTTGAGGTGGGTTTCTACAGTGAGACCCCACAATGTAAGTTATTTTGAGTTGTTGATTTTGAGTGTATGTTTTCTTCTAATGATTACTTGAATACACATATACCAAAGACCTACTTCAAAGAGAGTACTTTAAAAAGTTCATAAAAATACAATTAAAAGATAAGTTTATTGGGTACCAGATCTTTTGAAATCTATGTATTTGATCTTAAAAAGTTCATCAAAAATACATATTATGACCAAACCATACATGGATTTCAAATTTTTGCACAAAAATAAACTTATCTTTTACTTCCATTTTTCCATGAACTTTTATTTTTTTTTTACAGGCAGAGTGGACAGTGAGAGAGAGAGAGAGAGAGAGAGAAAGGTCTTCCTTTTGCCGTTGGTTCACCCTCCAATGGCCGCCGCGGCCAGCGCGCTGCGGCCAGCACACCGCGCTGATCTGAAGGCAGGAGCCAGGTACTTCTCCTGGTCTCCCATGGGGTGCAGGGCCCAAGCACTTGGGCCATCCTCCACTGCACTCCCTGGCCACAGCAGAGAGCTGGCCTGGAAGAGGGGCAACCAGGACAGAATCCAGCGCCCCTACCGGGACTAGAACCCTGTGTGCCGGCGCCGCAAGGTGGAGGATTAGCCTAATGAGCCACGGCGCCAGCCTTCCATGAACTTTTAAAAGCACTCTCATATGTCTTTTTTTTGTTAAATCTACAATAATCAGTTTCCTTGTTAGTTAAAAAAAAAAAAAGGTCAACTCTGAAAATATTTACTTTTTGTCTTCTTCACGGAGTGGCTTCCATGACTTGTAATTAAATCAAGTGATTTCACTGTGCTGTAGCGTGTGAAACAAATATGACAACCTTAAGAAAGCTAATCAGAAATTTTCTGAGTTCTCTCTTGCTATCTTTGTCTACCTTGGTATGGTGTCTGAAAACTTATAGAGCATAATTCTATAGCTGAGTTTTCTCATGAGCCAGAAAGTTCCAAATGGGACATTGTTTTGTCTGTTGAAATCCCTACACTTAGAATGTTCTTTAAATGGCAATAAGTTGTAATCATTATTTGGATTTTGAAACGTGTTCAACATAATTTCTATATCGTCCAAAAAACACATAGTTGAGCCCTATAAATCTAATACACGCTTAGAACTTAATTCCACTGATAGGGCTTATCTCTTTGGGCTTGTCTACAGAGCCTACTAAATAATAATCCTAATTAGAAGCCTAATTATGTTTCTGCTCAGAGTATTTTTAGATAGCCTTAACATTTGATCTGTTTAGTCTAGTTTTACAGGTGGCAATAGATTAAAAACAGGTTTTAAAATAAGATATGACTATTACGTTTCTAATAATAGATGATTGTGGTCCCAGAGCCACTTTTTTTCTTTAGTGACACATGGAACAACCTTTTGATGATGGTAATTGTGCCCACATGCCCTATCCCCACACAGGGAAAAATAGGGCACCTTTTGTAGTCAGCACTTTATTGCTACCATATAAACTTTAGCCCTTTCGATTCAGGATCTTGAGTTTCTTTCATTCTCCTCTAAAATAACTCACCTTTTCAATTCTGCTCCAATCCTCTGGTTACATGTTCCCAAGGACCCTTGTCCTGATGTTACCTTCCTAGGCATTCTACCATCTAAGAAATCACAGACTTTAAATGTAGACTTTCAAATTTGAATGTGCATGAGACTATCACAGGCACTCATAAAATCGCAAACTCCCAAGCTGCATCCAGATGGCTTCCATCTCCTTAATGTCTCTCAGGGTCCTGGGACCCAACATTTTATACAAAACACCCCAGGTGCTCTGAGACAAATTTTGAGCAGCAATGCTTTACAAGACTCATTTTTTATTTCCAGATACATAGTTTCAAATTTTCTGTTATTCCTGTGGCTGTTTACCATGAATGGCATGTATCCTACAATTCTAAAAAAATTGGATAAACAAACACAAGATGTTAATTTTATTATTTTTAATATTTCTCTAGGACAAATGTGGCTCCACCTGAAAGCAGCCTGATTTTTCTCTCACCTCACACAATAGAAGAACGGAAGGAAGGAAACGTCAAGATTTATACAAAGGCAAGATTTGTTCAAAGAGGAATACCAAGGTTTTCAGGTGTATTCACTTTATCTGGTCCTGTTGCAGTTTGTAGCTCTTCCATCCTGTGTTTATGCATGGTAGGAGGTCAATTCCATTGTCAAGGCAAGCAACTATAATGCAAGGACCAACATTTTTAGTGTATGGACAAAAGTCAGGGCAGCTGTCCACGGTGTATGCAACATTTCTGGTACTGATGACCTTGAGTGACGTTGATTTGCAAATCCAACAGCTTTAGCAGCTCAATATATTAATTCAAAACACAACAACAGCATGTTTTACTTGACCACTCACTAGTACTTGACTTATTACCTGAACTTAAGTGCATTCTACACTTAAGCATGTGTCTTCAGTAATGGTCCCTCTCACACTATTACACCATTCAGAAAAAGTGAGTCAGCCATTCACTAATACTTGATCACAAGCATTTATTGAATATCTGCTATGTACCAGGCAAAAAAGACAGAAAGTAATAATAAGAAAACATCTTGGTCCTCAAGAAACAAGCCTTCTAGTCAGAGAAACATCTTACTTGAATGGGTGATAGAGGCTGCAATAGAACAAAGCCTGGGCTAACAGCAGATGCAGGGAAGGGCGGACCAAAAAAAACCACCAACAAAGAGAGTTTCTCAGAGGAAGAGGTACATAAATGGAATTTTGAGAAACAAATGGAAGCTAGCCAAGAGTATTACATGTGGCTAAGTTATAGGTGACTTTTCAGACAAGTGATTCATATTCCTATGGGCATAGATGGACACTAAAAAGAATATAGCTCAATTTAAAATGCTAATAATTTTCCAGTGCTGGAGAAGAGGTGAGAAGTCACATCCAGGTGATGGATTAAGGGTGTGCAAAGATCCTAATCTTTCTCCTATAGGCTTCAAAGATTCTTTGAAGAATAGTAAGTAAGCCATATGTGTGCCAGAATTTGAGTTCATTTCTTCAAAAAGCACTTTCTACAAACCAAGTTTGTGCAGGCATTGTGCCATGTTGGGCACTGAGAAAATGATGCTTAAGAAGACAGAAATGGTCTCTTCCCAAAGGGAGGCTACATTCTAACAGAAAAGACACACATTGGGCTGGCACTTTGGCATAGTGGGTAAAGCTGTCGCCTGCAGTGCCAGCATCCCATATGGGCACCAGTTCCAGTCCCGACTGTTCCACTTCCTATCCATCCCTCTGCTATGGCCTGGGAAAGCAGTGGAAGATGGTTCAAGTTCTTGGCCTCTGCACCCACGTGGGAAACCCAGAAGAATCTCCTGGATCCTGGCTTTGAATCAGCCTAGCTCCAGCTGTTGAAGCTATTTGGGGAGTGAACCAGCAGATGGAAGACCTCTCTCTCTGTCTCTGCCCCTGCCTCTCTGTAACTCTGCCTTTCAAATAAATAAAGATGTGTATGAGAATCTGAGTTGTTCCTTTGGCTAAAATGCTTAGGAAAAATTTATCTTAGGATCCAGTGTTTAAGTTGATATATGACAAGCAAATCACAATTTGCATTTATTCATTCCTTTACTTGAGATAATATTAATTATATCACAAGTCTGGAGTGATTTGGGAGAAGAATCGGGTGAAGAATGTTCTAGACAGAGGGAAGAAGAGCTGGCCCAAGAATGGACTGAAGACAAGAGTGGCAAGGACAACGGTGGACAAACTGCAGACTAACAAGTGAGGGGGTCAGAGGATTGGTGGTGGGAAATCACAGGAGCTTTAGGTAGAGAATGCATACCTGGATTCACTTCTGTAGATACACCCTGATAGCTGTGTAGGGGAAAAGGGATTGGAGGGCATGGAAGAGAAGTCTCTTTAGTTGTACTTCGAAGGCATTTCAGTGATGCAGGTGAGGCATGAACAGGACTCAGACAAAATAATGGTCATGGAGGTGGGGAGAAGTTTAGTTTGCTCAGGATGCAGGGCAAAAGAGAGAGCCTGAAGAACTCACTGCTTATGTCTGTGGAGGGTAATTACTGCCAATGTAGACTAGAAGCCAAGGCTTCTCCATGTTTGGCAGTGACTTTTCCACTGCATGATGTAAACTTGGGAAAGCAAATGCTTTGTTTATTCTGAATTATATTCTCTTAATTTGAAACACTGTCAAGCTTTGCAGGGTGGTAGTAACATAGCCAACAAGGTCTATCTAAGGTGGGATTGTTGCTAACTGAAATACAGCCAAGAAGTTTAACATGGGAGCCTTCACAATGAAGACCCAAAGACTCAGCAAAGTTTCTATTTTTATGCTTAGATAAAGTGAGGCACGCACAGCCACATAAATGTAACTGTACAAAAGGGCATGATCTAATGATAATAGGCTGGTGGGGTAGGACCCAAAAAAGCCTGGCTGTTCAGATTCTTGGCCTCTCTGTGTAGCATTCTGTCCTTCCAGGAATGGGGCAAGATACTTCCTGGTATGGGGGTCTGATTATTTACAATCAGACAAGGAAAGTGAGAGAATTCACTCATAACAAACTCTTACCCAGAAAGTAGGGGTAACAAGAGAACAATATTTTTAGCCTTCTGGATGGTTTTGGGGGAAAGGTGTTCTGTTTTCTATAGCTTATATTGGAGAAAAGAAATTCTGGTTTACATTGCTTGCCTTGGGGGAAAATGAGGGATAAGAGACAGGAAGGCAGAACGTCAGAGAGAAACTGTTTCTTAGGATTCACTTTGGGATATTGTTTTCTGAACCCCAACACTTTGCTTACCCACAAATGATTTTATTTGGAACATAGTCACCCATTTGGTTTTTTTAGAACATGTCATATGTTATGAGTAAGCTCAACTATTTCTCTTTTAATCCCAAGAGGATGTTAGCTAAGTGGCCCTCATGGAAGACAAAAGATTAAACCATGCATCTGGAATTCCCTGCTCCATTCTCCATAGAATGGGAAGCAAGGGCCAGACCCAGCACAGCAATGCCCTGTGCCACTTCAGACTTCTCCACAAGGATGGAGGACCGGCAGCATTTTCTGATTAGTTCATTCATTGGACCAGGGCACCCATATGAGCATATGGGGGAAGGACCCAGTAGCTGCTCTTATGTCCTCCTGACACCTGTTGTCATGCTTCTTCTTGTTTCACACCTTCTACTCTTCCAAGCAGTTCTGCAACTCTCTTCTTTTCACTCTCTCTAATACACATCTGTAGTCCTTAACAATACAAAAAGGGACAGTAAGACAAGATGAAATGTTTCAGGGAGAAAAATGGTAGAAGACAATGGCTGTTAGAATCACCACACGAAAGTGCCATTCATTATCCATTGTTCCTTCAAATTAGTAGCTTCATCTAACTAAACTTTCTGCTCTCTATCAATGTCAAAATTGAAGACAGAGGGTGGAGGAAAGACTGTGTTTGGAAAGATGGCATTTTAAATGTGGATTTAGCTAAAGGAAGTGCCACTCTTCTTCCATCTGTCTTTGTCAGCTTTTGTTCTTAGTGTGCTACAAACTCTACTAGAGTTTCTGGCTTTAGCAGAAGTCTCAAGAATAGTTTTTTTTTTTTGTGTTAGACACACAGAGTTTCTGACTGGGGGTCATGATGTGATGTGGAAGAAGCAGGGATTTGAATTCAAATTTCAGTCTCATACTCAATGCTTTGGCAATTTGGGGGTGTGTCAGATTAGAGGTAGGTACAAGAGCCCCTCCTATTTGAGTACATCAAATCCTTCAACATTTCTGGACCTCAAATTTTTTTTAAATATTTATTTTATTTATTTGAAAGACAGTCACAGAGAGAAGTAGAGACAGAGAGAAGGTTTTCCATCTGCTGGCTTACTCCCCAGATGGCCACAATGGCCAGATCTGCACCCATCCAAAGCCAGGAGCCAGGAGCTTCTTCTGGGTCTCCTACATGGGTGCAGGGGCCCAAGGACTTGGGCCATCTTCTACTGCTTTCCCAGGCCACAGCAGAGAGCTGGATCAGAAAAGGAGCAGCCGGGACTAGAACTGGTGCCCATATGGGATGCCAATATTTCAGGCCAGGGCTTTAATCCACTGCGCCACAGCACTGGCCCAATTGGACCTCAAATTTATAACCTGCAACAAGGAAAGTGAAAGAACATTAATTGACAAGGCACTGAACTGTCTATGTCACTTAGAATCCATGAGGTGAGTATAATGATTCTAGTTTATTATGAAGAAATGAAGGCTCTGAAACTCAGCCTAGGATTTTTAAGACCTAGGCTCTTTCCATTATAGATGTCATCTTCCAACATTTGGGCAAACATTTTGCATATAATCCACTTTTTGAAAGTGGATTTATTTATACTGAAACAAGCCCAAAAGCCCACTCAAAAGTATTGTTATTACATAGGCTATCACTCCAGATACACTATACTCATCATTTTCTGCTGTTGGGTTGATTTTCTGGGGAAAATACACTAATGTATCCTTTGCTGCATTTTTATCCAATTCAAAAGAATTCAGAGATCTCAAGGGGAGGTTATCAGAATCTGTTACACGCCACAGTTACATGCCTGGTGCATTAGTTATCAATTGTAGTATTACAAATTAGTGTACAATTCAGTGACTTAAAATAACGTTTATTACCTCACAATTTCTGTAGGTCAGAAGCATGGGTGAAGCTTAACATGGTTTGGGAACTCTCACATGTTGATATCAAGGGATTGGCCAGGGCTGTGGTATCCAAGGGCTCTCCTAGGGAAGGATCTGCCTCCAAGCTCACTCATCCCATCACTGGCTGGATTTAGTTCTTCCAGCACTACTGACTGTAGGCCTAACTCTGTTCTTTGCTAGGCAGGTCTCTTTGTAAAGTCAGCTGACTCTATGGCAGCAGGCTTCCTCATAACAAGGTGGCAAGGAGGGCTAGAGAAAGTGAGTTCTAGGAAGATGGGAGTCACAGTCTTTTTTGTGACCTGATACTGGAGGTGACACCTCCCTGCCTTATTTATACTTTATTCATTAGAAGTCACCAGGTCCAACTTATATACAAAGGAGGAAATCACACAAACATGAATGTTAGGAAGCAAGGATCATTGGGAACTGATGTCATTTCAATGTTTGTCCTCTCTGAAACCTAGGCTGAGGTTTAACTGCCGTTCTAACAGTGAAGAGGTGGGACCTTGGGTGATTATTCTCTGAGATCTCCTCCCTTGTGGGGGGAATTGTGGCTGTTATAAAATGCCAAATTTAGTCCCTGTTTTTCTCTCTCTTGCCCTTCTATCTCTCACCACAGGAAAGATGCAGCAGGGACGCCCTCACCAGATGCCAGCCCCTAAAATTTGCAAGACTCCGAGCCAATAAATTTCATGTTCCATGATAACAGCACAAAACAGATGAAGACAGAAATCTTGGAAGACAGAAGTCTTGGAAACCTACCTACCCACCTGCTGGACCAGTACATTCCAAGTGCTGTAAAACCAAAACAAAACTGAGAGAATTTGGTGCTGAGGCTAAGTGAACTATAGTTATCACTAACCCAAAATTTTTTAAACTTAACTGAAAAGTGATCGCTGTTAAATATAAGAGTGGGAATTAGAGAGGGAAGAGATGTGCAATTCGGGACATGTTCAAGCTGACTTACCTCAAACGGTAGAGTTAGAAAGATACCAGGGGATTCCAATTCAATCCCATCAAGGTGGCATGTACCAATGCCATCTCATTAGTCCCAGTGATCAATTTCTGTTCACAATTTTTCATAATGATAGGACTAAGAATCAAAAGGATCACATAAACAAGAATAGTGTCTGCAAATACTAGCTGATAGAATAAAAAAGGGAGAGAATGATCCAACATGGGAAGTGAGATACACAGCAGACTCATAGAATGGCAGATGTCCTAAACAGCACTCTGCCTCAGAATCAGCCCTTCAGGCATGCGGATCTGGCTGAAAAGCCCATGAGAGTTTTTCAGGCATGGAAAGCCAAGACACTCTGGGGGAAAAAAAAAAACCTAAATGAAAGATCTCCGCGAGTGAGATCCCAGTGTAAAGAGCGGGTCACCAAAGAAGGAGGTACCTTTCTCTGAAGGGAGGAGAGAACTTCCACTTTGACCATGGCCTTGTCTAAAAATGATCAGAGTCAGTGAACTCAGGGGACTTCCATAGCCTTGGCAGCTCATGACAAGAGCCTAGGCTGATTACTGATGCCATAAACAAGAGTGTCAATTTATTAAGTCAACAACAGGAGTCACTGTGCACTTACTCCTCATGTAGGATCTTTGTCCTTAGTGTGCTGTACATTGAGATTTAATGCTATAACGAGTACTCAAACAGTATTTTTCACTTTATGTTTCTGTGTGGGAGCAAACTGTTGAAATCTTTACTTAATTTATGCTAAACTGATCTTCTGTATATAAAGAGAAATGAAAATAAAAAAAATTTCTAGTTCTTAAGTACAAGAAGCTAGTCTCATTGTTTTCATGATTGAACTCACAATAAATTTCAGTTGATACCAGTAAATTCATCTCAATAAAATATCTCTTTTTTATGGGTTTATTTTTTTATTTGAAAGTCAGAGTTACAGAGAAAGAGCAAAAGACAGAGAGAGATCTTCATCTGCTGTCCCCCAACCCCCCCCCCACCCCCGCACTGACTGCAATGGCCAGCACTGGGCCAAGCTGAAGCCAGGAGCCAAGAGTTTCTTCTTGGGTCTCCCACATGGATGGCAGGGGTCCAAGCACTTGGATCATATTCCACTTCTTTGCCTAGGCCATTGGCAGGGAGCTCAATCAAAAGTGAAGCAGCCAAGACACGAACCAGCACCTGTATGGGATGCTGGCACTGTAGGTGGTGGCTTTACCCCCTACACCACAAGGCTGGCCCATTAAATATCTCTGTGTAGCAGCTGTGTGCATGTGAAGGTACTTTAAAACATCTGTGGCAGATAGAATCAAAGGATAAGTTTATTTTGCTATAATTATATTTTTAAATCTATGCACAGGTTTCTTCATAATATACATTTCCTGTGAACTTTTTCTCAATAATTTTGCAATAATTTTGCACCAAAATAAACTTATCTTTTAAGTCCACTTTTTACAAACTTTTAAAGTATTTTTGTATTATGCTTACCTGGAAGTTTGTTGTTGGGTGGAGTGAGGAACGCTGGCTTGGAAGAGTTTCCTGAAGGAAGAGGTGACAGCATCCAGAGGGCTACAGTGATTGGCTGACACTTCCTGGTGGGTGAGGCTACAGACTGAAGGGAGTACCTGTTTGTATGGGGCTCTTGGTTAATAACTGGGACCCAAGGAGTCACTTCCAGAACCTGACCCACAGAAAGTGACTTAGAACTGGGGAGAAGGTCGCCTTTCCCAAGTGACTTGGCTAAATAAACAATTAGATCACGAGCAACCTAATGTGAAACAAAATGCAGTGATGAAAACCAACCACTTGGCTTTGGATGAATATTTGGTTTCGTAGATGATTATCTTAAAAATGACTTCCTCAAATACTATTTTTTCCTGTGTGAGTAATTGGGGTTCATCACTAGCCAGTTTTATAAGTATTTATGCAAATATTTATTAGAATTGCTTTTGAAATAATTTATTGGTGGGTAGATATATTTTTTTCTGTATTTTTCCTTCCAATACATTTTCTGCCAATGAAACAATTGTACTCTTTGGAATTTTTCAGAGTGGAAATGTGGCAGCAATTTAAAGGTTGTTTCCAACTCCTCAATATTACAAATAGTTCAGGGCAGGAACATTTGGTTGAAAATGATTGTGAAATTAAAAATTATAAAGTAAAAAAATATTATAGAGACATAAGTGTCAACTGGAGATCTTCCATTTGGATCATGTCATCATTTCAACTAAATTATTATCTTGAACTACTCATTTTTCCTCTGAAACCTACTCCAAGCTTGGCATCTTGGGTAGGGTTCTGGGAAAAGGATCAATATCTTCACCAAAGACTGTAGCCCTGGGAACAGCAGTAAAATATTCCCTGAGTTACTGACTGGATAGCAGCCATTAATAAGGAGGACATAGACCACAATTGAATAGACAATTTATAAATACATATGATTCTCAAACAAGATCCAGCAGTTACTGAATGGTCTTTAGTGAAAACATGATGTCTTAAAATATTTAGGTAAGTCCAAAAAGACAAAAACATTCAAGATGTCACTGTTCATGGTCTTTTCTTGGGAGAACTAGGGAGATTCAAATTATATAGCTATAAGTCACTGTTATTATTTCACTACCACTATACCATTCACTTAGGGTAGTGATTGTTAAGGTGGGGCATGTGCAGGCATACCAAAAACCATATAATGAAGCCTAAAGTGCTCTAAAAATAACATCTTTTTAAAAAATGTTATCTGCAGTTATTGCTTCCCTGTCACACCTCTTTTTAAAGATTTTTATTTTCAGTATATTTGAAAGAGAGACAGACACAGACAGGGATCTCCCAGCTACAAGTCCACTCCTCAAATGGCCACAACAGCCAGAACTAGGCTGGGTCAAAGTCAGAAACCCAGAACTCAATTTAGATCTCCCACATGAGTGGCTGGAACCCAAGTACTTGAGTCATTACTGCTGCCTCCTACGTAAGCATTAACAGGAAGCTGGATCTGAAACAGAAGAGCTGGGACTTGAACCGGACATTCCAATGTGGGATGCAGGTAACTCAAGCAGCATCTTAGCCTCTGCACCAAATATCCCTCCCCCTCCCTGTCTTCATGTGCATCCAGGTTCCTGACCCACAGCATTTTTCCTTACCCTCAAAACATCTTTGAACACATCTTGCAAAGAAGGTCTGCTGATGGTGAATTTCCTCTAAGAAAGTCTTTGTTCTTCCTTTACTTTTGAAGAATAATTTCACTGTATATAGTTCTATATTGGTGGATTTCTCTTTCAACACTTTATTTCATTCTACTTTCTTCTTCTCTGATTGGTTTCTGATGAAAAGTCTACTGTAATTATTTTTCCGCTACTCCTAAGGTTAGGTGCTTCTATTAAAATTTTTTACATCTTTATACATGCATTTATGGGACTCCATGTGATGTTTCAGTACTGGTACTTTTTACCCTCTATCTTTTAAGATTTTTTCTCTCTCTCTCTCTCTCTCTCTCTCTCTCTCTCTCTCTCTTTTGCTGTTTGACTGTGATATGCCTAGGTGTAGATTTTTGCATATTTATCCTGTTGGATATCTTCTGAACTTTTAAAAAATATTTATTTATTTATTATTTGAAAAAAAGTGTTACAGAGAGAGGGAGAGACAGAGAGAGAAAGAGATCTTCCATCTGCTGATTCACTCCTCAAATGGTCACAATGGCCAGAATCGGACCAGGCCAAAACCAGGAACTTCATTTAGGTCTCTTACCTGGGTTAAGGGCCTAAGTACTTGGATCATCTTCTGCTTCTTTCTCAGGCATGTTAGCAGAGAGCTGTATCCAATGTGGAGCAGCCAGGACACCAAACAAAACCCGTATGGGATGTCTACAACACTGGTGGTAGCTGAACTAACTGCACCAGAATGGCAGCCCCTTTTCTGAGCTTTCTGAGTCTGTAGTTCTCTGTGTGTCATTGATTTTGGAGTATTCTTGTCTATCATTACTTCATTTATTTATTTTATTTATGTATTTATTTTTAATTTATTTTTATGTATTTTCATGCATTTCATAAATACAACATTAGGAACATAGTAATTCTTTCCACTGTACCCACCCTCCCACCCATTCTCCCAACTTTCTTCCTCTTCCCTCTCCTATTCCCTGTCCTGTTTTTCACTAAGATCTATTTTCATGTAACTTCATATACAGAGGATTAACTCTATTGTAGGTAAAGAATTCAATGCTTTGCATGAGAAAGAAAATGCAACAACAACAACACAAAATAACTGTTCCTCAACAGTCCAGACAAGAGCTATTCAAAGTTATTACATCTTGAAGATAATTTCACCTTTTTTTCCCCTTCCTTCCTTCTTCTACTTTCCTTTTAGGAATTTAATTATCTTTAAAGGAAAACCCAAGTTACATCTTTTGTGAGCTCTGAGATGTAACTATAACTTATGAAACATAAGAATATCCTCCACTTAACACACTAAAAGGAAGTGATTCTTGAGAACAACTTTTACTATTGAGTCTCGTGAACTCTTTGCAGACAGAGGTCGTGCATGGGAAGTTAGTGCACAGTGACTCTTGTTGTTTATTTAACAATTAACACTCCTATATATGATGTCAGTGATCATCCAAGGCTCTTGACATGAGCTGATTAGGCTAGAGTACAGGAAAATATTAAAAACTTCTATTTTTAAGAAGACTGGATAAAGAAGTTATGGGATATGTACTCTATAGAATACTATACAGCAGTCAAAAACAATGAAATCCGGTCATTTGCAACACAATGGAAGAATCTGGAAAACATCATGCTGAGTGAAATAAGCCAATCTTAAAGGGACAAACATACGTTCTCCTTGATCAGCGACAACTAACTGTGCACTTAAAAGGAAACCTGTTGAAGTGAAATGGACACTATGAAAAACAATGACTTGATCAGCCCTTGTCCTGACTGTCGAGGAACAACTTACTACTTTATTCCTTTTAGTATTATTTTGTTCTACTTAATACCATTGGTTGAACTCATTAATTCACATACAGTTATTCTTAGGTGTTTAAATTTAACTGAAAAGTGATCCCTGTTAAATATAAGAGTGGGAATAAGAGAGGGAAGAGATGTACAATTTGGGACATGTGCAATCAGACTTACCCCTAATGGTAGAGTTAGAAACGTTCCAGGGGATTCCAATTCAATCCCATCAAGGTGGCATGTACCAATGCCATCTCACTAGTCCAAGTGATCAGTTTCAGTTCACAAGTGATCATAATGATAGGATCACATAAACAAGACTAGTGTCTGCTAATACTAACTGATAGAATTAAAAAGGAGAGAACGATCCAACATGGGAAGCAGGATTTACAGCAGAATGGCAGATGTCCTAAATAGCACTCTGGCCTCAGAATCAGCCCTTAAGGCAGTCGGATCTGGCTGAAAAGCCCATGAGAGTAGTTTAGGCATGGAAAGCCAAGACACTCAGGGGGAAAAAAAAAAAAAAAAGAGGACCTAAATGAAAGATCTCTGCGAGTGAGATCCCAGTGGAAAGAACGGGCCATCAAAGAAGGAGGCACCTTTCTCTGAAGGTAGGAGAGAACTTCCAATTTGACAATGACCCTGTCTGAATAAGATCGAAGTCGGCAAACTCAAAAGGCTTCCATAGCCTTGGCAACTCATGACTAGAGCCTAGGGAGATTACTGATGCCATAAACAAGAGTGTCAAATTGTTAAGTCAACAACAGGAGTCACTGTGTACTTACTCCTCACATGGGATCTGTCCTTAATGTGTTGTCCAATGTGAAGTAATGCTATAACTAATACTGAAACAGTATTTTATACTTTGTGTTTCTGTGTGGGTGTAAACTGATGAAATCTTTACTTAATATATACTAAATTGATCTTCTGTATATAAAGAGAATTGAAAATGAATCTTGATGTGAATGGAATGGGAAAGGGAGTGGGAGATGGGAGGGGTGAGAATGGGAGGGAAATTATGGGGGGGGGGAGCCATTGTAATCCATAAACTGTACTTTGGAAATTTATAGTTACTAAATAAAAGTAAAAAAAATAAAAATAAAAATATTCAGGTCCCTGAAAAAAAAAAAAAAAAAAGCATGGCAGATGTCCTAAACAGCACTCTGGCCTCAGAATCAACCCTTAAGGCAGTCGGATCTGGCTAAAAAGCGCATGAGAGTATTTTGGCATGGAAAGCCAAAACACTGTGGAAAAAAAATTACCTAAATGAAAGATCTCTGTGAGTGAGATCCCAGCAGAAAGAACAGGCCATCAAAGAAGGAGGTACCTTTGTCTGAAGGGAGGAGAGAACTTCCACTTTGACTATGGCCTTGTCTAAATAAGTTGGAGGTGGTGAACTCAAGAGGCTTCCATAGCCTTGGCATCTCATGACAAGAGCCTTGGGTGATTACTGACATCATAAATAAGAGTGTCAATTGTTAAATGAACAACAGGAATCACTGTGTACTTACTCCACATGTAGGATCTCTGTCCTTAATGTGTTGTACTATGTGAATTAATGATATAACTAGTACTCAAACAGTACTTTATACTTTGTGTTTCTGTGTGGATGTAAACTGTTGAAATCTTAGTGTATACTAAGTTGATCTTCTGTATATAAAGATAGTTGAAAATGAATCTTGATGAAGAATGAGAAGGGAGAGGGAGTGGGAGATGGGATGGTTGTGGGTGGGAGGGTGACTATCGGGGGAAAAAGCCGCTATAATCCAAAAGTTGTACTTTGAAAATTTACATTTATTAAATAAAAGTTAATAATTCTGTTTTTAAAATTTATTTTCAAACATGAAAATCAATGAAATAAAATATACCAACATGTGATAAAATGATTAGCACTAGCTTCATCACTCAATCAGTACATCTCTTTATCTGTTGAGCAACGCCAAGTGAGGAGTGAGTTACCTGCCTGAGTTCCACGAATGTGATGTGCTACAGTTAATATGAATGTGTTCTCTGATTAAGTGAATTATTCAGTTCTAACTAAATCATGTTCTTCAACCAGTAGCTGGTTCTTCCAACCAGTAGTTGGAAAAAGTTTCTACAAATTTAAATGTGATGGCAGGGCCAATACTGTGGCTCAGCAGGTTAAAGCCCAGCCTGAAGCACCGGCATCCCATATGGATACTGGTTCATGTCCTGGCTGCTCCTCTTCTGATCCATTTCTGTTATGGCCTGTGAAAGCATTAGAAGATGGCCCAAGTGCTTTGGCCACTGCACCTATGTTGGAGACCCAAAAGAAGCTCCTGGCTTCAGATCAGCTCAGCTTCAGCCATTGAGGCCATCTAGGGAGTGAACCAGTAGATGGAAGACCATTCTCTCTGTCTCTCCCTCTCTTTGTTTATAACGTTACCTCTCAAATAAATAAAATCTTGAAAAAATAGAGATGGCATTTAATATAATACTATCAAAGAAAAAGCAAGTTATCATGAAAAAATGTTGATTGTGCTTATATAGAAAGATAGTCATCAATATAAATTTTCTCTTCAGTGTAAAGGTAATATTAATTGCAACAATGAATTAAAAACTGTCTGCTTTTGATGACTCTGCCTATGGAGAAAATGCTGTGGAAGCTAATGTCTGGGACAGTTTCTATTGTTTCATTATTTTAGTGCCAGAAACAATGTGCCTGACCTTAAAGACTCATAACTTGACTATTTAGGGAACTTGGGAACTTTTTAAACCAATTTGCTAAAAATGTTAAAATATAGTAACTTCTTATTAGTTGAAAGAACTTCTGACTGACAACCAGGGAAGGCAGAAAATGACTTGCCTCATTTCGGCTAAAATCCTTACATAATTAGTGAAGAGGATGAATAAAAGCCTGTAACAAGCTAGTAGGAGCAGTAGCTGACCAACAAATACTGTTGATTCATTGATTCTCTGGTTCAGTGTAATTTTCTTTCTCTTTCTCTCCCTCTCCATTTGTCTTGTGGAACTCACTTCCTTTATCTGACACATTCCTAAGATAGTTGAAATATCATCCTTGCAGAAAAGGTTAAAGGGCAAATTTCAATTCCATCCAGGCTTTGCTGTTTTTGACCATATTTTTTGGCAAGCAGAGAGAGTTCTGGACTTATAAATGAGAGCATTGTTAGTTTAATAAACAAATTTTCAAATATTCTCTGGAAATCTCATTAGTAAAGAAAGAAAAAACCTAAAATATAAGAGATAAACATTATACAAGCATTTAGATAAGTATGGATTTTCTTTCTTAGAAATATGTTGTTATTATCATGTAAGTACAATAGTAATTAATAATTTAAAGCCTTCTGCTCGCCTTTTCATTTCAAAAGATTTTGAAAAAATTAGGATCCTGTGAATTCACTGACTCATGAAAGTATTGTGAGTTGGCCTCTGTAGGAGGAAATGCAAGACACAGGCAACTCAAACAAATGTGTGAAATAAAAGAACAGTTCCAACAAATGATAGATGAATCAAAACTGGATATTTCGGTAACTAACTTTGGTAATAGATTTTAAACAGAAAGAAAAACCATGTAGTGCCTATATCCTCTCATTCAGTGGGCATCACTATTAGAAACAAAATGTTCACAGCCAAAATGAGCAGAATAGGGTTCATGTGCAATGCAGGAAAACAAATTTTGTGTTTTAATATTACCACAATTGCACTTTTTGCCTTTGCTACTTTTCCTGACTTTTATTTTCATTCTGTGCATAGCAACTTCTTAATTAACATTTTAGATGAGAACGTCAAAAACAGGGAGATGACAGACTGCTACTATTCTTGGTCTTGGTGACACTTTCCCTATGGCAGAATGACAGTCACAGCTGCAAGTCATTGCAAAGAATCTGCCTGAAATTAGCATTTAGGTTGGGTCAAAAGAGCTTCAATTTTCTGGAGCAGTTTCTTTATCCTGAGTAGTTCCCAAGTGAAACAGAAAGTCACTGGAGCAGGTTAGTTGTGAATCTCTTTTGAAAGCCACAGCCCATTGGTAGCAGGAAGACCACAAATCAAAGCACAGTTCTCAACAGCTTTATCAAATCTCTATCTTCATGTCACGGTGAAAAATACAAAGATGTGTAAGAATTATCTCTGCCGGTAAGTGATATATTATAATACAGTGATCTTTTTGGTTAGAGACAAGTAACAACTCCTGACATCCCCCTTCTCCCCTGCCAAAGACTACATTCTCCACATGGTTCACACCCAGCTGCACAAAATGATATCACTTCCATTATACTTTACAAGGAAACAGCTGATTGTTAGGCAGTTACTTATTTCACCAGTTTTATTGGCCAACCTAGGGAATAAGCAGCTCAGTGAGCAAACAAATGGGAGTGAAGGGATTCAGAAGACCCCTGCCACGGATTTGGAGGAGAAAGAAATAAGCAAGTTGGTATCCATCCTAACCTCTTGGCTTCCCTTTGCCTGAGTAGATGGTGATGTCAGGCCATGAACTGATGAGGGCTCTGGGCCTGGAGATCCCTAGAGCACCTGGGACTCAAAGATGCTTCTGTTTTCTGTTTATCCAAAAGTGCAAAGCTGATGGCAACACAAAAGCAGGTGTCGGATGCCAAGACAGGCTGACACAGATCACCCTACCTCAGCCTTCAGATGGGATTCTGTCCTACTGAGTGACCACCCACAGGTACTCATTTTACTCTCCTGTCTTCCCCTGCAGTGAATGCTCCAATGTAAGAGATTCTCTCCAGAAATCTTACTTTAAATATGCATCTATGTTGTGACTAACAGCACCTGTTGTTTCTCTCAAATAAAGCAATCATCAAATAATGAAAATTTTGTCTTAGGCAAAATTAAATTTTTGTTTTTGTTTTTCTTCCTGTGAGATTCGCTTAATTACCAGGAATAGACTCAACTTAATGCTTAGTGGAATTGCAAGTAACGGCTTGGAATCTAGCTTTTCTTAGCATTAAAATGCTCAGTTTTTAACATTACCTATTGCTTTCAAACATATTTCAAATATTTTGAAATAATAAGTGACTGTCTTTTAGTCTCTGAACTCATCTTTGAGTCTGTTTAAAGAATGTTCTGTGTCCAGCTGACATTCTGAGATGCCAGATCAGGACAGTGGATATGTTTGACTAATCAGGGGGAACATGGCTGCCTGCCACATTCAGAGTAGGTATACTAAAGTGTTCAAAAGTATTAATCATAGAGAATTAGTTCATCAGCACCAGCATGGTTTTAACTATTGCCTTTGTCAGCATTTCATTGTTGTAATGAAATACCTGAGGCAGGCTAACATTATAAAATAAAGAGGTTCACTTACCTCACATTTTTGGAGGTTCAATTCTAAATTCAAGTGGTTCAGTTGGTTTGGCCTCTGGTGGGGGCAGTGGAAGGCAATGGCAGGGGCATGGGTTAGAGTTAGCAGTTGTATCTTGAGCCTGGTAATCAGAGATTGAATGGAACCTAACTGAGGCTTTTATAAACATCTCTGTCACCCTCAATGACCTGAGTTTTCTTTAGACCTCACCTAATGGTGACACCAGTTCTCAGTGGTGCCGGCCTGAGGACTAAGACTTCTATCAAGTGGGCCTTTGAGGGACATTCAGCATCCAAACCACAGCAGCTATGTCTGAACAAGAGCCTTCACCTCATAAATCTATGCAGAAAGCCTCTGCCAGGACACATTGTTGCATGCTGGGAATGCGAGGGGAAAGAGGAGATGCTCCACTTCAACTCAGGCTGCTTTGACTCCTGTCTTCCCCAATTGTGGCTTTCCACAAGTGCTTCGTCACTCCCCATCAAAGCTTCTTCCTTTTCTAGAAAGCAGGTGAGACTCCACATTAGGCACAGAGCCATGCTTGCCCATTGGCCTCAAACCACAGAAACAGTTTTTGAGCATGCTGCTTGCCCCAGCACTACCTCCTGGCTATTCAACCATTTCCCCCAGTCATCTCCATTGCCACAGTTCTCAGAGCATCATCTCTCGGGTGCACTGGTCGTCTGCTTTCTAATAGGCTACCTGTTTGACAGCTTTAACCTGGGCTCCATCTCAGTGGAGGAGCTTTGAAACACACATGTGTGATCATGCCACTCTGGTGTTTGAAACTTGATAAAAGCATCCTGGCCGGCGCCGCGGCTCACTAGGCTAATCCTCCACCTAGCGGCGCTGGCACACCGGGTTCTAGTCCCAGTCGGGGCGCCAGATTCTGTCCCGGTTGCCCCTCTTCCAGGCCAGCTCTCTGCTGTGGCCAGGGAGTGCAGTGGAGGATGGCCCAGGTGCTTGGGCCCTGCACCCCATGGGAGACCAGGAGAAGCACCTGGCTCCTGCCTTTGGATCAGCGCAGTGCGCCGGCTGCAGCGCGCCAGCCACAGCAGTCATTGGAGGGTGAACCAACGACAAAGGAAGACCTTTCTCTCTGTCACTCTCTCTCACTGTCCACTCTGCCTGTCAAAAAAAAAAAAAAAAAAAAAAAAAAGATAAAAGCATCCCATTGCCTTTCAGTTAGAACATCTCAAATTTCTTAACATTACCGTGCTCTCCATAATATGTCCTTGGCACACACATGAAGCTTCATACCTCACCAGTTTCCAGTTTTCATTCTTCTTCCAACCATGCCAAATGCCTCCGTTGCTCTCTTTCATGCTTGGGAACTTGCCCATACTTGTCCATGTCCTGGGAATAATCTACTCTTTCAGCTCCCCAGTGTCTATGCAACTCAGATAATTACTAATCACCTTAAATATCAGCTTAAACTCCCTATCCTGATTTCTGTACTTGGAAATTGAGAATCCCTTTCTCTCTGTTCTCTTGTCACTTTTTGCCTTTCAAAACAGTGTGTTTACTACAAGTATTGACTTAGGGATTCCCCCTTCTAGACCAGAGATCAGCAAGTTATGACCTTAAGGTCAAATCTCGAGGCTACCTACTTTTGTATCTGTCGCTCCCCCTCTTCATGGAGGAGCGACACAATGCCCTGCCTAGGCTTCATATCCGAGTCACGGCACCATTATGTCGCTCCCCGTCTTCGTGGAGGAGCAACACAGGACCCTGCGCTGTTCTTTCGTCTGCTCGGCCCTCCCCGGGTTTGCTGCTGGTTCTTCCCGGGTTGGCTACTATCCCTTCCACCTCCGTGGAAGGGCAGTTCCCCCTGGCCGCATTCCCCACTTCCGCAGGGGAGCGGCACACCACCGGCCGGCTCTTCTCGGGGGCTGCACGGGTGTTCCTTAGATGTTCCCCATAGATGTTCCTGGTGCATGCCGTCTCTCTCCTCCTTTATAGTCCTCCTCTGCCAATCCTAACTCGGCTGCCCACACGCCGAGTACGCTGCTCTCCAATCAGGAGCAAGTCCTACAATTTATTAGTTGAACTGGAGGCAGCTGTGCGGAAGCTGTTTACTTCTCTCCCAGCGCCATATTGTGGGAGAGCAGATGCATAGAATAAGTCTTAATTCGAGTAACTTAGTCTAGTCCGGATTGCTCCCCACAGTATCTTTCATTAGAATACAGTCGTGCTCATTCATTTATATATTTCCTATGCTACAATGTGCTACAATGGCAAAGCTGACCAGTTGTAAAAGGGACTGTATAACTATTTCACCATCTTCTGGGATAGTTTCTTCAAGTGAATGCCAACCTGATTATACCATATCTTAAATATTCAGTTCACACCCCACCTCCCCCTTGAAGGTTTCCCATCTATGCCAAACTACTTGAGGAAGCATTTGGTGTCTACTTGAGAATCAGAGATGTTCTGAGAATAGAAAAGGAGGTTCCAAATCAGTCAGGCTGCAAATCCACCTGTACTCATTGACCTGAAACCAAACCAAACCGAACCAAAACCAACCAAACAAAAAAACAACAAAAACCCAGTTTCAATCTTGTCCCTTCTTCCAGGGATACCTGAGAGATGTTAACAGCGTGAGGATGCAGGCCACAGGAACAGTCACCAGAGCAATAGTTTCCTAGGGAAGACTGTGGCGTCCAGTCTGTCTCTCAGCCGTTGCTTCAATATCAGAGGAGTTTCCCGGTAGAGCTGTGACTCCTGTGATGACAACAAGGATATTTACTAAAACATCTTAGTTAATAAATTAAAAGAAAGAAAGAAAATTTTTCCATTATTTACATTTTCCACCAGCTTGCTCCTACTGGGAGGGAAAAGAGAAAAGCAACACATCTAAATCTCAGAAGCCCTCATCTGAGGAGCCCTAGCTGTAGAAAGTGATGCCATCTTAATGATGTTGTGGGAAAGTCTGGATGTCCGGATCCTGGACTGTGAATAAAAGAGCAGATCTGTTATCTCAGTTTTTAGGGGGATAAGATCTGTGATGAAAATGGGAAAGCAAAAGAACCAACTCTGCGGCCTCTTGGCTTGGGCATTTGTGTCCATGATGCTAATGAGAAGGATAATTGTAAAAATCCTTGCAAAAGGAATTCAGGAGGGTCCCCTCAAACACCAGCAGGGAAAATCCACTTTCCCGTGTTTTGGTCTAGTTACTGAGACATTCAACTAGTGGCACCTAGCCCTTCCCCAACAGAGATCAATCTGTGCCTTTAAGGAAGAGAAATCAAAGAAATATCAGCGTTTTCTTTTGAATAGAGCTTGATCAGCTTGTCTCCACATGTGCTGTCACCATTAGAACACCAGGGTCGATTGTTGAGGCGCCGCCTCTGGGGAGCACCTCCAGGATTCTCGCGTTCCCTTCCGGTGCCTGCACTGCGTGCGTCTCCATTTCGTGCAGGATTCTTTCCTCTTCTCTGGCATCGATCTTCCTTTCCTTCTGTGGATCACATCTCTCCTATCTTGTTTCGAGAGACGTGGAGGGTTTGGTTTCTGGACTGGGTGGAGATTGGCAAGAATCTGCTTCTCTCCTCTATGTTCCCTACAGTCTTCCCTTTGCCTCTCTTGGGTTTGGCAGCACCAGGATGACTATGGCAGTGGCAGTGAGGTGACTTCCCAGGGGTGGCAGAGACCTCTTTTTCTGGTATTCTCTTTTCACAGTGGATGCTTACACATTGAAGGTTAACAGGAGGGTCCCATAGCCAGGAGGAACGTAAAAGGGTTGCTATGGAGTTCTTGTATCCTCCCCTTCTTCCCTTCAGATAGCCAGGTCTGGGAACAGACTCCTGAGCTGGATTCAGAATTGCCAAAGAGCACTGCGTCCTGAATCGTCGGTGACGCCTTAACTAATGACTTCACCCTGACCTCCCCTCTTGTTCTCCAGGTACTCATGACTACAGTCTGCTTGGGATATTTTAATGCATGGGTCACTAAGCGTGCCTCCTAGCAGAGGAAATGAGTTTCCCAACTGTTCCACGTGGGCAATGCTTGGGGAGCTGCAGAAGATGCTGGGTCCCGTGGTGCAGTAATAAGAAACCACTCACTGTTCACTGCCTCCCAGGGAACATTCCATGGCCTCTGGGGTTGCCCTGGTCCCTCAGGACCTCCTGGCTTATCTCCCAATCTGCCCTCCTGAGGTCCCACCTCTGGCTTTACTGTCATACCCCAGCCCCACCCTTCAACACCCTAGTGGCTGACAGTCTCTTTTCTGATGTTATCATCTGCAGGAAATCAAAACACCATGTGTGTGAACATAAAATTCTGTCATTTATTTGTACTACAGACTTCAGGAAAGGGGAAAAAAATCACAGCTCTCTTTTCATTAAAAAAAAAATTGGCACAATGTTTAAGCATTTGTGACCTTAAATCAGCCTGTTATTAACAGCCAGGAAATGCCTGACCCAAAGGTCCTCACTGCTATTATAAACTGTGAAAATTATAAAAATGGAAATAAAAAATAAAGTAATTACCTCTTCATGTGTTAAAAAGTTAAGTTGAATGGCCCGTTGCCATGGAGATGATTTCCTGTTTACTGTGCTGGTCTTCCCCAGCAGTTAAAGACCAGTCACCCAGCCAATGGGAAAACAGCATTTAACTTCCCATGTTCCATTAACATTTGTCATAGTGACTCAGTACAGCCTATAATTTACCAGTCAGTAAAATTCAGTAAATTGTATTTTCAGATATATTAGTGGTTTTTAATTTTTGTTCATTGTATGAAATTACCATCATAGCCAAAAGCACTACTTTATATTTCAAGAAGTGGGGGCAATCCCTATATTTAAAATGTCTTCGTTACCCCTTTAAAATGCTGACGATTTTTTCTGCTTCTGCAGAAGGATTCCCACAATTAGACTCTCTTGTTTCCTCATTGCTTTTAAGGCTGCATTGTTACCAAGAGCAATTCAAATGATCATATTCACGTTAGCAATAGCCAAAACCCAACTTCTGTTCTTGTTAACTATATATCAGTTCTTTGGGCTTTTTATCGAAAAGATCTCAGGATTCTAAAATAAACCACTTAGTACAGGATAAGAAGTAAAATTATTTGAAATCAAATAATTATTTGCCTGAATATAAACTATTCAGAAAAAAATTGCATCTATGCTAAACATGTACAAACTTTTGGTCTGGGCATTATTCCCTACACAATACAGTATAGCAACTATTCAAATGACATTTACATTGTTAGGTTTTATAAGTAATCTAGAGAAGATTTATAGTCACAGTGGGATTGTGTAAGTTTTATGCAAATACTATGACATTTTATTTAAGTGACTTGAGCATCCGTGGATTTTGGTATCTTCAGGTGGCCCTTGATACCAGGATGCCACCTGTAATTAATGTGGCCCAGTGTTGTGGTGCAGTGGGTTAAGCTGCTGCTTGCAAGGCTGACATCTCATATCAGAGTGCCAGTTCAAGTCCCAGCTGCTTTGCTTCTAATCCAGCTTCCTGCTAATGTACCTGGGAAGGCAAAAGATGACCCAAGTGCTTAGCCCCTGCCATACACATGGGAGACCAGGATGGAGTTTCTGGCTCCTGGCTTCAGGGTGAATCAGACCTGGATATTGCAACCATTTTGGTAGTAAACCAAGAGATGGAAATTCTGTCTGTCACTCTGCTTTCAAATAAATAAATGTGTATTTTTCATGCAATTAATGCTTTGATTATTTGAGACAAAATTCCAGCACATTGCATGCCCCATCCCAGGCTGTCTCTGACTCATTCTTTCACGAACCTACATGATTGAGTGTGTTCAGCACCACGTTATTGTACAGGGATAGCCATAGGGGTAGTGGGTGGCAGGGGAGGGGACAGAGAAGAGAGGTTGGGAGAACAAGGGTGGGTGGAGAATGATGAGAAAGCAGGGTGGGTAAAATGGACACTGTGCTTCCTCAGACTCACAGGCAAATTCAGGAGGTAGAAGCCAGAGAGGTGAGTTGTGCTCCCAGAACTGTGTTTTGAAGCCAACTATACAACTCCAACACTTTGAAACTTTTGGTCAAACTGCTTCAAGCCACTTTCCTCTCAGCTAAACGTTCAATTGAAAGTATATAATTCTCTTTTCTTTTCAACTACACATTTTATATTTCCTTGGTGCCTGGAAGTTTTAACAAGTCAACACATTTGTTCTTTTTTTTTTTTTTTTTTTTTTGACAGGCAGAGTGGACAGTGAGAGAGAGAGACAGAGAGAAAGGTCTTCTTTTTGCCGTTGGTTCACCCCCCAGTGGCCGCCATGGCCAGCACACTGCGGCCGGCACGCTGCGGCCGGCGCACCACGCTGATCCGATGGCAGGAGCCAGGTACTTCTCTTGGTCTTTCATGGGGTGCAGGGCCCAAGCACTTGGGCCATCCTCCACTGCACTCCCTGGCCATAGCAGAGAGCTGGCCTGGAAGAGGGGCAACTGGGACAGAATCCGGCGCCCCGACCGGGACTAGAACCCGGTGTGCCGGCGCAGCAAGGTGGAGGATTAGCCTAGTGAGCCGTGGCGCCGGCCCACATTTGTTCTTCAAGAGACTTGGTTACTCAAATCTGCAATTCTATCTCCTAGGAGTCATTAGATCTCTTATAAAACCTAACAATATGGACAGTTGGCATAAGGCTAAGCTGTACCTTTGGATGTGCACATCCTCAATCAGGGTGCCTGGGCTCGAGAATCAGTTCCACTTCCAATTCTAGCTTCCTGTTAATGAGCACCCTTGGAGGCAGCAAGTGACTGCTCGAGGACTTGTTTTTTATCACCCACATGGGAGACCCAGATTGAATTCCTTGTTCCTGGTTTTGGCCTGGCCCAGCTCCAGCTGTTGTGGGCTTTTGGGGGAGTAAACCAGTAGATGGGAGATGTTTCTTTGTCTATTCTCTATCTACCTCTCTAATAAGTTTAAACAGGTTTTTTTAAAAAATAGAATTGTAAAGTATGATTTTTAAAGTTCCTCCATCCTGGGAACTCACACATGATGGAGGTCCTAGACTTGTGTGCTTCTTCAGCTCTTATTTCTGAGATAATAATGCCTTGAGGGCAGCAATCCTTTTTCATTGACCCCGTATCTCTCAAGATGTCTACCATGTGATCGTGAGTGTAGTAGAAACTAGGTATTGTTGAATAAAGAAGTATTTATGATCCAAACAAGATGAAGGAGTATATTTTACATGCTAACCTTTGCTTCCCTTTATTCTCTTTGCATTAAAGCCTCCTTAGCACTTGTGAACAAGCCTGTAGTATGTGATTTTGCAAGGTGAATGGAGGATGGAAGATGGATACAAAAGAGGAGTATATCATACTGATAGGTCTGGAAGATTGTCTGAAAACCCTTAAATGAACTAAAATGAGGTTACTCTTGCTTTGCAAGGAATAACATAGTATACAGGTAAAAATGAATGCTATTGAATAGAGCTACTCATTCATTTGTGGTGCAGTGACCTTTGTCATACATTTTGAAACTTACATGTTCAAATGAAGGATGTGCCTTTTAGCATTTGGCGGCTACATATGTATTTGAAGCACGGATATTTCTACAAGTTTTCCCTTATAACTACAGCTGAAAGATACTACACAGTCCTGTTATTATTTTCTGGAATGAAACTCAAATCATTGTCAAATGTCAATCCTACCTGACCTAATATGAAAGAAAATTTATAATTTTATCATGATTACTAATTGTGGAATAAAAGAATTCCCCACATTTGGTTGGCAGGTGGAGAAACCTTGATTTCCTCACTTTTCAAAGATTAGAGGGGAGAGGTAGAAAGAAGAGAGTGTGTTGGGATGGCCTCAGCCATGCCTTTGAGGTCAGAGGTGGGTAGACACCTTGCCATGGAAATTGCGGACTAGAGGGTAAAGAAGCATGGTCAGGTGGCACAGGAGCCCACAACATTGATATAATCAGTTCCTACCACCTTCAACATCTAAGGAATGTCCCCCATTGATGCCCTAGGAATTAGAATTATGAACCACTGTTTTATTCATTACACAGTTGCTTTCATTGCTACTTGTTTTGATTCTTGGCCTTAGCCTTGGACAAAAGTTTTGGAAAGCTTCCTTTTTAACAGCTTATATTATTTATCTGTCTTCAGCAAGTTACATAAAAAGTATTGAAAAGTAGTGAGGCAGAAGCTGGAAGGTTTACATTGTGTTGCTCCAAAAACAGGAGGTGATGCACAAATAC